TGTTTTTCATTGGTTTGTGCTCCTCTGCCGTCTTCCGGAAAACGCCTGTGGAGGGACCGGGGCTGGCTTGAACAGGAGGGCTGTAATCTGCTTGATAATGAGTTCATTAGCAGGGTACTTGTTGCGAAACCCACAGAGCTGGGATGCTCTGGGGCTCTGAACTGTCTTGCCATCCACTGCTCCACTTTGCCAGCGAAGTTATTACAGCTCGGCTCTCCCTTCTTTTGGGATTTCAGCCCTTGAGGAGGGGCATGTTTAGGATGAGGTCCTGAAAGATGCTGGAGGAGGTCTGGCTGACCTACCCTCCCCACACTCAGCAGCATCAGAGGCACCAGAGAGGCAGCAGTTCCCAGAGCCATCCATGCTGCTGGCCATGCTGCTCACCGCTTAGCCTCCAGCAGGCTGCAGAAATGAAAAGCCCTGAGAAAGAAGGGTTATCTTCACCTACACTGTGGGGGCGGAAGCCTGGAGACCCTGTGTTCCCGGTGCTACCCGAAAGTGCCCAAGGCTGAAGCGGGTGTCGAGGGAGGTTGATCAAATCCCTCCTGCTCTTCTGCTCTGGACGTGCTGGGGACAGAGCATCTCTGTGCCAGGGACACTGGCAGCCATCAGCACAGCCATGCAGTACCTGTATGCAGAAAGTGAGCAGCGCCAGTGATGCACCAAGGCTGTAGGGCTGCTGAGCTGGTTGTGATAATTAACCTGCTGTAGACTGTTTCTAGAGCTAGTCTCACCTCAGGCACTTAGACTTGCAGCGCTTTTCTGTGGCTCTCTTTCCTCTCCCCCTGAGGTTGGAACATGTCAGGGGTGCCCAGCAGATGCAGAGATGGATGGATGGCCATTTTGGCAGCTGAGAAGCACCGGGAGGATGGCGTGCCCAGCCTGCTTGTGTGGCATTTGGAGTGCGTGCTCCTCTTCTGTTGCTGGCAAGCAAGTCTGGGCCTTTGAAGACTGTGAATTGTTTGCTGCTTGTGTTGAGCAGTGCCAGCAGGGAGCTTTGACCTGGACTGGAGCTTTCCATGTGGCCTTGAAAACCTGGAAAGCTTGAAGCCAAAATGCTGTCGCCTGGGTAGACACTTTAGATTTCCCTAGGAAAGCTATTTTGGTTTGTTTTTTACCAAATGTGCCTGGACCAAGCTCTGGGATGGAGGGAGATGCTGGGAGCAGATGATTCTTCAGTGTCCTGCATCCTGGGAAGCTGGGCCTGCCTGGGGGCATCTCCTCTCCCTTGAGTCCTGATTAGCCCTGTGGCTAATACCATTGCTGCCTCCCTCCTGTGGGGGTGTTGGGCGATCAGCCTGACACCGTGTGTCAGGGGTGACGTGGCACGGAGGGTATTTCCAGTGACGTGGGTTGGACAGATGGTGCCCTTCTCCAGCCCAGAGTGAGAAGTGCCCTCCTGACCAGAAGGCTCCATCTGTGTAATTTCCTTTTCACAGGGCCCCTGGCCAGGTTTTTGTGCGCTCTGCCCGCGCGCAGCAGGGCAGCGCTGTGTTCAGTGCCTGCCCTAAATAACCATCACCCTGCCTGTGCATCGGCGCTCTGCTGCGCCTGGGGGGCAAGTGAACATGGAAGTGCCTCCAAAAAGACTGCATGTGTCTTTGCCAGAAACCCTCTCGCTGGGCAATGGGTGCCTTCCTCTGGGATTTCTGGATCTAACAAATGGCAGGGTCCAGTGGGCAGTATGATGGGACAAAGCAGTGACGTGGCATCCTGCATGCAGTCAGCCAGGACTGTTTCAGAGACCATCCAGTCCCACCCCCTGCCCTGGGCTGGGACACCTCTACTGTGGACAAAGGCTGAGAGAGTTGGGGTTTTGCAGCCAGGAGATGAGAAGGCTCCAGGGAGACCTTCCTGGGGCTGCTCAGTACCTAAAGGGGCTTATAGGAAAGAGGGAGAGAGACTTGTGTCGAGAGTCTGCAGTGACAGGACAAGGAGCTGCAGTTTTAAACTGAACAAGGTTGGGCTTAGGTTGGACGGGGGGAAGAAATGTTGTGAGACCCTGAGGGGGGTGAGAGCCTGGCCCAGGTTGCCCAGAGACGCTGTGGGTGCCCCATCCCTGGAGGGGTTCAAGGCCAGGTTGGAGGGGGCTCGGAGCAACCGGGTCTGGTGGGAGGTGTCCCAGCCCTCGGACCATGTTGGTGGCCTCCTGTGGGGCGTCTCCAGCAGGTCCATGTCTGCCTTGGGCTGGGGACGCCGGAGCTGGAGGCAGGGCTCCAGGGGCTGTGAGGAGAGGGGAGCAGAGGGGGAGCATCCCCTCCATTGTCCTGCTGGTCAAGCTGCGGAGGATGGAGCCCAAGAGAGGCTTGGCTTTCTGGGCTGTAAGCACACATTGCCGGCTTGTGTTCCATTTGTCACCTACCCGTATCCCCAGACCTCCTAAAAGTGCTCTCAGCCTTCTCTCCTTTGACCCCTTCCAGCAGATGGCCATCCTGTTGGGTGTGTGCTGAGGTGGCACGAGGCTGCAGGCTGGACATGTGTGCCCTGGCAGAGCTGTCATCTGCCCCCTGCACTGTGCGATTAACCTCCGGACAGGACCATGTCCTGGACTGTATGCTGTGAGACACAGGGACAAGCCAGACTGTTCCTGGTGGGTGCTGAGGATGGATTGGGATATGGGCTGCTGCCCAAGGCAAATATTTGTGGCACAGAGGTGCAGTTGGCAAAGCTGGAAGGAGCTGCAATGGCAGGGATTGGGGGCAAAGGCGGCACGGGTCCCTCCAGCCTGGCTGCCTGGTGGCTTTGGGGTGCAGGAGGGCTGTAACAGAGCCCACGGCTAAATCCTACCCCTGGCCCCCGGGCTGCGTGGGTGGTGCTGGCTCTGGCTGTGCATCAGCTCTGCACTGAGCCCGAGTCATGCTCCAGCTCTTGGTGCTGAGCTGTGACCACTTACAGGGAGCTGCCTCTGCTCCACAGGGCAAGAGCAAAATGATACAAAAAGCCTCAGGGAAGAAATTGCATTCTGCCCGTCACAAAGGACATTGCCTTCTGCAGGGAGCATACAGAGCTCTCCACAGGTCCAGAGAGGTACAGCCATTCCCACTGGCAACCAGAAAGCCCCCTGCACCCTGGGCTGCATCCCCAGCAGCGTGGCCAGCAGGGCGAGGTGGAGGAGGGGATTCTGCCCCTCTGCTCTGCTCTGGGGAGACACCCCCCCCAGCACTGCCTCCACCTCTGGGGCCACCAACAGCAGAAAGACATGGACCTGTTGGAGCAGGGCCAGAGGAGGCCATGAAGATGCTCCAAAGGCTGCAGCTCCTCTGCTGTGGACAAAGTCTGAGAGAGTTGCGGGGGGTTCAGCCTGGAGAAGGCTCTGGGGAAGCCTTACTGCAGCTGCTCAGTACTTAAAGGGACTTATAGGAAAGCTGGGGACAAACTTTTTAGCAGGGCCTGTTGCAACTGGAGAAGGGGTAATGGCTTTAAACTAAAAGGAGGAGGATTTAGACTAGATACAAGGGAGAAATTCTTTACAATGAGGGTGGTGAGACCCTGGCCCAGGTTGCCTAGAGAGGTGGGAGATGCCCCATCCCTGGAAGCATTCCAGGTCAGGTTGAACAAGGCTCTGAGCAACCCGGTCTAGTTGAAGATGTCTCTGCTCGTGGCAGAGGGGTTGGACTGTATGGTGCTTAAAGGTCCCTTCCCACCCAAACTGTTCCATAATTCTATAATTCTATGCCTGTGCAGGCAGGGGATTACTGACCCCTCTCCCCATCCCAGCACAATGGTGTATTTTTAGCAATGCAGGGAAGAGATTCAAGTCAAAGCGGGAAAAAGCTCTAGGTGCTCATCCACAGGTTGATCTCTCCAAGCTTCATCACAATCAAAGTGCATCAACCCATTCCCAGGCTGGCAGCTCCCACTGTGCCTCAGCCTCACTGTGCGAGCAGCTCCTGCTGCTGAGCCCTGGCAGGGGCGCCTGGCCCTCGCCCAAATGGACAAATTCTGAGTTCCTGGCTTCAGGGACCGTTTCTTCTTTGTGCCCACAGTGATGGATCAGGGCAGCAATGCGCCTGCTTTTCCTTGTGAAGGTGATATTTTCACTTGAATCACAGTAGCTCTCAAATCTCAAGGTCTTTGGTTAAGCCATTTGTGAAACGATTATCAGAGCAAAGGGTGTCACGAGTGGTGGCAAGGCTGAAAGCTGAGGTCTTCTCTTGGTGACTCCACCCAAATCACTCACTCTAGGTTGAAAAGCCAATTATAAGGGGAAGGATAGGTATTTCACTTTCAAGGTAAGAGGCATCTCTCTGGAGACTGTATTGGCTAGGTCGGCAAAGAGCAAAGGAGCCATGGGGTGACATGTAACCATCTGCAAAATGTGGAACAATTACAAGATTAGCAGAGACAGTCTTTTTTTAAATATTCTCCATCCCACTGGCTCCTTCTCTCTTGTGAAAATGGAGTAAGAAACTTTTCCACCCCATTAATTTTCCATTTCATTCTGTCATATATCTGCTTTGGACAATAATCTTTTAAATGTCTCCTTATATGGAGAACTGTAATTTTTCTTTCCCCTGTGAGCTCGCATCCTCTGCCTCACTGGGACGGGAGATGTTTTCATCTCTGATGACAATGACACACGTGCTGCTGCAGACAAACCCCTCGTTTGCCTGCTGTGACTTTACTAGTTCTCTTGTATTTTCTGGTCTCTCCCATCTTTTCTGCACTCTGCAGCATCCCTTGTGTTTTCCCATCACCACCGTTTGCAGAGCTGTTATGCTCACGCACAGCTGAGCGTAGCTTATTAAGTTTCCCCCTCTAGCTCCCTGTAAATGCATAGGTATTGCTAAAATGCAGAGGTATTGTTAGTCTTGTTCTGTGCTTGCCATGGGAGGTCCCACAGTGTGGCAGCTGGCTGTGGTGGTGTTTTGCTGGAGCTAGCTATGAGCTGCAATCTTGATGTCCGTAGTGCTCTGGTGCAGCAGTGCCCAGGGCTTCCCATGCTCTGACTGGCATTTTCCCCAGTTCCTGGGAGCAAGTGAATAAAGGAGAAGGGGAAGATGCCCTTGTGGAGCTCCTGCAAAGGGGGCCACAAACTTTGCAGGAAGCATTTGTTGATGCCTATTTCTGTGTCATTGCAGGCGAAGGACAGCGATGATGATGATGAAGTCACTGTCAGTGTGGACCGGGACCGCTTCATGGACGAGTTCTTTGAGCAGGTGAGAGTTTTGTTTCCCCAGTGCAACTTTAAAGCCAGTTCAGAGCTGTCTCTTGGTACCAGAGCAGGCTGCAGGGCTGTGGTATGGGCTCCCACCGCAGGCCAGGAGCAGGGGTCAGGATGGGGGTGGGGGTCCTGCCCTGGCTGATGCCGCTCAGCTGATGCTTGGGGTCCTCGGGGGCTACAGTCAGGGTGCTGATTAGCAGGAAGAAGGCTTCCATGCAGACCTGAGGCTGTCGTGGGCTTACCTGGCCCATGGTACCTCTTGCAGAAATGGAGTGGGTGAGCCATGCAGCCTTCCTGCCTCCTGCCTGCTGCTAAAGTGGACCGGCTCTCAAACCTCTCCTGAAAGCACCTCTGTGGAGTAGCAGTTTCTACATGGGATTGATTTAATTTTGGGCCTCTCCTTACCAAACAAGAGGTTGTCTTCTGGCATGTGGGTGGCTGTAAGATCTGCATGCGGATTTTTAGCACACCCTTAGCATGGCATGTGTGTAGGGGGTGTTAAAATGTATCTGTGCAGGCAATGGAGTGGGGAATGAAAAAAATCTGACACGCAGATGGAGGAAGACGAGCAAAGTGGTGGTGTGAGTCGAAGGAGAAGACAGAGCTAGAGGGTGGGCAGCCCAGCAGGCAGAGGACACAAGTAGTTTTCCCCTCTGCGTGATGCCAGTGTGTCTCCCCGTACAGGAGAGTGAGGAAGATGCCAGTACTGATTTGCTGGCAAATTTGGCTTTGGTGAGGGGTCAAACTGGGCTTCTCAGCTACTGAAGCAAAGAGCCATGGGGGACGGACCCAGGACCAAGCCTGGCTTCAGCAATCTCAGCAATGTTCTCCACGCTGGAGGTGCAGAGTCTGGGAATCCGTAGGTCTGGTGCTAATTTAAGTAAGCCCCAAATGTTTGTGCATCACAAAGGACACAGGACATAGCATGTGTATTACATTGCTGTGACTGCAAAGCTGGCTGCTGTGATGTGGAAGGTCTGATTTCACGGCGGTCCTACAGTTTCAGGATCCAGCTGGAAAATATTAGTCCAGGAGGACATTTGCTGTAGTTCAGACATGTTTTGGTTGCTTTGGGATAGGGTTTAATAATCCGCCCCCTTTCCAAAAGTCCAGGCCTCTCACAGGAGACCTGTCTTGTTGTTTATCCCCACAGGTGGAAGAAATTCGAGGGTTCATTGATAAAATTTCGGAGAACGTGGAGGAAGTGAAAAGGAAGCACAGCGCCATCCTTGCTTCGCCCAACCCTGATGAGAGTGAGTGAGCCATGATCTGCTTGTGTCCCTGTGGGAATGAGGCTGCACTGGGCTGGGCTGCTTGTGGGGTGGACAGAGTTAGACAGAAGTCCTCTTGTCTTCAGGTGGCCATGGCTGGAAAGCCACAAGCTGCTGAGATGGCTGATGGCTGGGATGAGGGAGGGCTGGAACCTGAATGGAAAGGAGATTGAGGGATGGCTGATGGCTTTCTGACCTTGACAGGTGGTGAGGGTCCAGTGAGGCTGCTGGAGTGGAATTCCTGAAGAATGGAACAATGTGGAGGCTGAAAAGAGCAAATGGCTGTTTTTATGTTGTTTGACTGTTGTCTTACTCTGAGCTGCCTGGGAAGGGTATGTGGATGAGGCAGCGCTTGCAGAACAGGCTGAGCATTGCCTGCTCAGCCCAGAATGGTGCAGCTCTTCTTCGAGCCCATGGTGTGCACTTGTGATGGTGTCCTCTCTGTCCTGAAGGACATTTTTCTGCTGGCTGGCCAAAGAGTCTGTCCCTTCCAGACCTTACTGACACATCACTGTTTTCTTCCCTAGTCTTCTGTTCCTGAGGTTTGTTGCCAGGAACAGAAGTTAAGTATAGCAGCACCCAAGAGGTGGCAACATTTGGGAGTCCACAGGATTTGGTAGAGTTAGAGCTGTGGGTGATGAGTTCCCCTGTCCCAAGGTGTAAGCAGTTCCTCTTCCCAGGGACCCGAAGGAGCTGGCCCTGGCAGAGCACCTGGGGCTGGTGGGGCCAGCTGGGCTTCCTTAGTACAGAGACTTTCCAGCTTTGGTGTTTGCAAACCGCTCATTGGGGAGCGTGTGGGACTGAGGTGCTGAGCTCTGAAAGGGAGGGCAGGGGTGAGCACAGCTGAGCAGAACTGCTTATCAGTGGGGCTGGACCAGGGATATCATTTGAACATCTGCTGTTCTTCAGTCTTACTCTAAGCCCATGTAGGCTCTCCTTCACCCATCTTCCTCATGGTGCTGGTGGTCGCAGGGCTGGTGGTTGCAGGGGTGACTGTGCAGGATGGCTCTGAGCTGCCAGCAGCCCTTGTTGTTGGGAAAAGGTCTTGCTTTGATGGGCCAATGAGTGACTGCTGAGGAGCTGAAGGCTGCAGTGGCCCTGGCTCAAGGGTATGATTAGGGGGCTGGGAAGCTGAGACTAGGTCCGCCATCCGCTCTGCTCCTTCTTTTCATTTGCTGAGTGCAATTCCATGTCTGCTCATATACAACTGTGAATTGTTTCTAGAGGTCCCAGGAGACAGCCTGTACACACATTCTCTTGTGTTCAGCCCTAAGTCAAATCAATAGGTATTGCTAATTGCTTGGAAGAACCTGGTCCTTTCTAAATTGTCTCATATTCCTCTATCCTAGTAGCTGCTTCTCAGCTCAAATTCACTTGGCTGAGCCTGGAAGCAAGGGATGTGTTCAAGGGAATTCACGTATGTCAGACTGTTGCTCAATCATCCTCCAGGCTCTTTTGGTCTGCACTTGCGCTGTAAGATTTTGCAGTGTTTCTTTTGGGTGCTTTCAGGGAAGAGCTGTCATTGCTTTACTTCTGGCTGCTGGGCTCATACAGCATGCATCGGCATGGTGTCCGCTCGGGGCTGAGCCAGAGCTCTGGCTGCAAAGGGCACTTGTAGCCTAAAAGCATAATAATCTATTTAAAAGTCTGAGATCTGCAGCAAACAAGACACTGTGACATTGATGTGACTTCCAGAAGCAGCTAGGACATTAAGAGTGCTTCTGGTTACCTTGATTTGGTATTATAGAAAATTGAGTTTAAAATGCCAAAAACTGTTTGGGCAGCAAAAGAAGAGACCATACCCTGTTGAGAAATTAGTGTTTTGTAATATTTTGGTGTGTCCAGGAGTTGTAGTGGGGCTGATCAGGTAGTCAATGGCACACTGGGCTGCAACCACACATTGCTGGCTTGTGTCCCATTTGTCACCCACCAGTATCCCCCAGTCCTTCTCCACAGGGTGCTCTCCATCCGCCCATCCATTCATGCATGCATCCATCCCTGCCTCCTTCCCTCTCTCCCTTCCTCTCCCAGTATGTGCTGGTACTGGGGGTTGCCCTGACCCAAGTGCAGGACCTTGCACTTGGCCCGGTTGAACTTCATGATGTTCAGGTGGGCTCACTCCTCACATGTGTCACCACAAATCAGCAAGAACTTCTTCACCACAACTGTCCACAGCTGGGTGGATGCCGGGAGTTGTGTCTGACCAGCCTCCAGCTCCCCCAGGCTGCTGTGTGCTGGGGCTGCAGGAGGTATGGTATCAGCTGAGTCATGTTCCTAGGAGCAGGGTGTTCACCCTATCTGATCACTGCTCCCTTCTGTCCCTCGGCACATGGGGGTAGAGTGCTGGAGATGCTCCTCAGTGTCCTCAGGACAGGAGACAACTTTGGTCATAGCTGCACGGTTCTGCTTAGATGATCTAGAGAGGCATTAAACTCAATGTGGCTTTGTAAGAGTGGGCCATGTGCTGTCTCATGGGACTGTGGGTAAGCTCTTGGAATAATTTAGGGTTGGACTGGATCATCTTTAAAGGCCCATTCCACTCGAAACATTCTGTGATAACTGATGATGTGCCACTCCTAGCTTTTCTGTTTCCCAGAGACTCAGCCAGGCCAAGAGCAGCATCAGGCCATGTCTGTCTGCTCCTTCAGCCCCAGGTGAGTCACATGAAACCCAGCAGAAATTCAACCAAAAGTGGGATTAACCTTGGCTGGAGCTCAGTCTTGCACTTTGGTGGGTGGAGGTGGTGGAAGGTCCCGTCGCAATGAAGGCAATGCAGTTGGGAATGGTGGGTGCTGGCGTGGTGCCCAGCAGCCCCCCCATTGCCTACCAGTGCTCGTGAGCCCACCTGGTATTTAATGCAAAGGCTTGTAATCCAGGGAAGTGAATTTATTGAGCTTAATTTTGAAATTAAGAAGGAAAGTTTTCATGAGGCATGAGAGGGGGATGCAGCCAAGGGGTGCTAAAATGTAGTTGGTGAAAAGCTGGTCTTGGTGTGTGCTCACTGGTGTTTGCTTTTTAACATGGCAAGTGACTGACACCTGTGGTGACAATCAAGGCAAGACATTGCTCTGCAAGGGCCAAACTTACAGGGGATTTGGGGTGCTGTTTGCCCCTTCCGGAGCAGCACCTCAAGTTGCTTCTTAGTGATCTCTAAGCATTTTAGCATCTTGTGAAACCTCCATTACAAAGTGATAGGAAGTAATCCTCCAGAGTATCAGAAGAAAGACACAGACTTCTCATTCTTTTCTGGAGGCAGATGCGCTGTGTGTGGTGCAGCTTGGTTTGGTGAGGTGCAGCACCTTCATCAAGAAATACAAACTCCTTAAACACCACCAGCAACTTCCTCATGGAGCTGGAGGATCTTGGAGTGGGTCTTCAGAAGATCAGGAAAGAGATGAGCTGATAATTTGGTTGAACAGTGGTTAGAGTTGCTGTTAGAGCACTGAGGGCGGGCGGGCTGGACATAGAGTGTCTGCTGGCTAAATTGCTTGCTGCTTTTTCAGGGTTTCTTGATAGAAGGGAGACTCCACAGATACAGTCCTACTGGAACCTGTGTCTTAAATGACTGTGTGCTTAGGTGGATGCAAGCCCTTGGTGCTCTCCTGCACGTGCTCTGCTGTTGCAGAAGAGGCAAGGTCCAGGTGTCTGTGGGAGACCTGGATTTACCCACCTGCCTGGCATGGGGCAGAGGTGCTGGGCTGGATCTGTGTTGCACAGAAGGGCTCATCCCTCCTCTCCCTTCCCACTGATCCCTCTTCTGGCTGCACAGAATGTTCTTGGATCCACGTTGCTGCTGCTGCCTGAGCTTATTTTGGCGCCTGGTGGGTGGGCAGCTGGCTGGCTCTGCCATTGTGCCAACAAGGTGGCAGCCCCCCTTGCAGCTCTGTCAGGCTCACATCTGGCTACAGGGGGCACGGGGAGGGTCTCCCCGCTGAGCAGCTCCATACCGCAGGGTGGGCAGCATCACATCAGGACTTCAGTGGGCTCGGAGTGTCTGAGGGGCTGTATTCCTCCTCGGTTCAGAGCCATTGCTGCTGCTACTCCTGTTTTGAGTCACAGCTCCTGGCAAACCTGTTCCTAAAATCCTTCTGGTGAGCTGCTGCACCTGTTGTTACTCCTGGCACTTGAGGCAGGGTCTTCATTCTCGGTCCTTGGTCTGGGCTGCTTCCCAGAGGAGGTGGCTTTGATGGCAAGTTGCCAACTGGAGAGGAATGAAGTGACAGTTTGTTTTGTTTTGGTTTTTATTTATTTTCCTCGAGTGGTTGGTCTCTGCCATGCATCTTCTCTGTGGATCATGCCCTCCCCGCGGCCGTGCTCTGCCACTCCTTGGTGCTGCATCACGTGACGGGTGCTGTTCCTGAATGAATTGCCTCTGGGAACGTAAATCATAGAATGGTTCGGGTTGGAAGGGACCTCAAAGATCATCGAGTTCCAACCCCCCTGCCATGGGCAGGGACACCTCCCATTAGAGCAGGCTGCTCAAGGCCACATCCAGCTTGGCCTTGAACACTTCCAGGGATGGGGCATCCACAACTTCCCTGGGCAACCTGTTCCAGTGTCTCACCACCCTCAGAGTCAAAAATTTCTTCCTGAGATCTAATCTGAATCTTTTTTCTTCCAATTTAAAACCGTTTCCCCTTGTCCTATCATTACCCTTCCTGGCAAAGAGTCCCTCCCCAGCTCTTCTATAGGCACCCTTCAGATATTGAAAGGCTGCTCTAAGGTCTCCCCGGAGCCTCCTCTTCTCCAGGCTGAACAATCCCAGCTCCCTCAGCCTGTCTTCATAGGAGAGGTGCTCCATCCCTCTGATCATCTTCGTGGCCCTCCGATCCTGTTCCAGCTGGTCCATGTCCTTTCTGTGTTGAGGACTCCAAAGCTGTACACAGTATTCCAGGTGGGGTCTCACGAGTGCAGAGTAGACCCCACATCTTCACATTTGAAGTAGTATCTTTCAGCCTGTGAGCTCAGTCCATCTCTGCAGG